CTATTCACGGTCACCGTCTATAAAGTTTGAAGTGAAACATAAATGAAATAACAAAGCATAGCATCGAGCAAAACATGTCGTAAGAACATCAACCTAATCCAAAACTGAGAAAAAGAGGATATTAGAAAAGGTTATTTAAGGATGAAGAAAATGAGAGATTTGCTTGAGATAGGGAAGAACAAAAATCACCATCGTTAGCTTTTTTGTTATTTGACTTGTTTCTTTATCTACAAGACTTATACCTTTTTTTTTTTTTTCTTGTTGCTAAAAACAAGACTTATACCTTTTTTTTTTTTTGTTCTTGTTGCTAAAAACAAGACTTATATCTTATAGTATCACATATGATTATCATGGATAGAGGATTTACCCAAAAATTAGTTCAGACTTTTGGTTTTTTTTTTTTTTAATCAATAAGTATGAAATTGCTTTAACGTCCAAGGATCGACGGAGAATCGTTAGTGATAAATACTACAAAAATATTTATTACTTGGGAAATAGGGAATCAAATACGTGTTTGATATATGTCTCATTAATTAAAGGATCATAATAAGTCAAACCTAATCCCGTATCTTCTTTTTTTTTTTTTCTTACCTTCCCGTTTCTTAAAAAAAAAGACGAGATTAATATTTTTTTCGATTTACAGATTTACATGAGATAATATAATAATATCCACGAACGGGTGTGTTATCGAAAATGAAAGTTATCTTAACAAATGAAATCGGAATTAAAAGAGGATTAAATATCTTTATCCAAAAACGGATAAGTCCCTATTAATTAACCTTGCGAAAAACGTCACGTGGGTCCCACGAATAAGCAGAAAATCTGGTCAAATACACCAATCACTATAATCTCACAAGATCATAATTTATTCATAAATGGACCAATAGAATATCACGATACACATTAGTTACCATTTACCAAAACCTATTTTGATATTTTACGATATTTGGATATATCTTTAATTGGATAAATCTATAATTTTTCATTTATCTTAACTAAAAAGTCTCGTGGATTTGACTAAACCACACTGATCTTAATTCTCAACCCCTCTATATAAACCCCTCGCTCTCTAATTACTTCTCATATCCAAAAATCTAATCTTTCTCTATCTTCTCTCTCATTTTTTAATCACAATCTTCAGATCAAACCCAATGGCTGCATCTAACGGCGAGAAAAGCTTGATCGTGAGCTTCGGCGAGATGCTCATCGATTTCGTCCCCACCGTCTCCGGCGTCTCCCTCGCCGACGCTCCCGGCTTCATCAAGGCTCCAGGCGGTGCACCTGCCAACGTCGCCATCGCCGTTTCTCGTCTTGGTGGTCGCTCTGCTTTCGTCGGAAAACTCGGTGACGACGAGTTCGGTCACTTGCTCGCCGGAATCTTGAAACAGAACGGTGTCTCCGCCGAAGGAATCAACTTCGACACCGGAGCAAGAACCGCACTCGCTTTCGTCACCCTGAGATCCGACGGTGAACGTGAGTTCATGTTTTACCGGAACCCTAGCGCCGATATGCTCCTCCGTCCCGACGAACTCAATCTTGATCTCATCAGATCTGTACGTTATTTTGACTTTTAATTAATTATTCATTAAATTTTGTTTAATGCATATACGATGACAGGTAAGCAAATCTTGATGGGTCCTACTTGTATTTAACGGTGCTAGATCGTCACCGTAACGGTTGTTTGGTTTACATAACGTAGAGGTGAAGTTAGGTTTAATAAACTGCTCTGTTTTTCTTTAACAGGCTAAGGTGTTTCACTATGGATCAATTAGCTTGATCGTTGAGCCATGTAGATCTGCTCACTTGAAAGCCATGGAGGTGGCTAAAGAAGCCGGTGCGTTGCTCTCTTATGACCCGAACTTGAGGCTTCCTTTGTGGCCCTCGAAGGAGGAAGCTCAGAAGCAGATTCTTAGCATCTGGGACAAAGCTGAAGTGATCAAAGTCAGTGACGAAGAGCTTATGTTCTTGACTGGATCTGATAAGGTTGATGATGAGACAGCTATGTCTCTGTGGCATGATAATTTGACACTTCTCTTGGTCACTTTAGGTGATAAGGGTTGTAGATATTACACCAAGGTAAATGGTTTTTGTTTTAAGAGTTTTGTTTCTTGTGTGTCCTTAAATGTTTCTTCAGTTGTGTTATTGTGTGTGTTATTTACAGGGCTTCCGTGGATCTGTTGATCCTTTCCGTGTGGAGGCAGTGGATACAACTGGTGCTGGTGATTCATATGTTGGTGCCTTGCTTTGCAAGATTGTTGATGACCGTTCTGTGCTTGAGGTAAAATTCTAATGGATTAACATTAGATTATTTTGCGATTTTGGAATCTTTGCATTGATTATTGACTGTGTTCTTCTGTTTTTGTTACAGGACGAACCTCGTCTTAGAGAAGTGCTTAGGTTTGCGAATGCTTGTGGGGCCATTACAACTACGAAGAAAGGAGCAATCCCAGCTCTTCCTACAGAGTCTGAGGTTCAGGCTCTTATGAAAGGAAACTGATCACAAAATGTCTGGCT